GTGTATGTGGGTGTCATTTGCTGTCTGACTGAAACCACGGGAAGTCCCTGATGTGAAGTGATAGACAGGAAGACTCCAGTAGAAGACGTAACCGTCCAGCCTCGCTGACATGACATTAATATGAGCCATGATTAGATAGCGTGACCAGTAAAGAGCGAGAGGGAGAGAGAGATAGAGATAGAGAGAGACATTTGTGTAAAGAAATAAATCATTCAAAGCCCCAATGATACTGGATTTTGAGGCCTTGGATTTTTTTGAAGAAAAAAAAATTACAATCTGATAACAATATATTGATAGTGATAAGATAATATCAACCTGGCTGATTCATCAGACTTGCTCTAATATCATTGCTGGATTTGTTCAACTCTCAAATATTGATTTTGGCCTCAAAAATGCAGTAAAGAAAAAAATTAAAAAAATAACATCAGCACTGTATTTTTCATGTTATTTTGGAGACAATCAAATGTCAGCCGCAAAAGTCTTCAACAGAATTAAAATGAAGCTTCTTTCTAAACATAAATATTCTTTTGTTTTCCTGATGTAGTCACCGAGATTTCTTTCACTATCTCTTTCATTTTTGTAATTTTTCTGCAAAGTTATTTGGAAGAGTTGGAGGCACAGCGATCTTGGGTCATAAATTCAATCTCCACAGCAGCCAATGAGTTCATGAATTGCTGTGTGTCTGGGTGAAATGGTGGGATGTGAAGAGCCAACCTGTTCACCTACTCTGGTTTACAGCATCAACCTACTGTATATATCAATGCCTAACCCTTTTAACGTGCACGTGATTTTAGAAGGGTAATGTAAAAATACAAAATGTGATCACCACGGAGAAGCCTTGAATTTGTTTCTCAGCCTTGAATTTATTGACCTTGAATAGGTGAATTATTAACAAAAGAATACAAACAAACATCAAAGCAGACACAGACACTTCAGGAAAATGTCCGGCAAGCTAAGTCTGCCTAAATCCAACTGAAGAGAAACTCTTTGACCTCCCATTAACACAACGTTTCTGTCAGGACCAACACTGGCTACCTATTTAAAGCTATGCCTAACAGCTGTTCAGGCACTCTCAGGTATCAGCAGACGTCAGCTGCAGTCCTTATATGACTCAATGAACACACACGCATATATGGAGCAGTGTGTGATAATGACCTGCTCTGGAAGGAATGTGTGTGTGTGTGTGTGTGTGTGTGTGTGTGTGTGTGTGTGTGTGTGTGTGTGTGTGTGCGCGTGTGCATGTGCGTGTCACCGTTTCACACCGATAAGAGAACATGAAAACATCACAACATGATGACACTTGTTAAAGTCAACACTGGGTAACTACTAACAATCTGCGCCTGTGTGAATAAGTATGAGTCAGGCTGAGAAAGAATGAGGCGAGGCAGAAAGACAAAAACTCAAGAGAGGGCTAAAAAAAACAGAGAAGATAAAGATAAAGAATTTTGTCTTTTATTGATTAATTACCTGCGCCTAAAGAGTTCATGTTTTATATTATGTTTTTTTGCCCCTTTGTCTGTGGGATATCTCAAAACTAACTCAAAATTTCAATGATATCTGGCGGCAAGTTCAGCCAAAGGATTTAAAAAAAAAAAAATTTTCTAAACATTGCAAGACTGAGTATTTTTGAAGATATTCAACATTTTCTCATAAGCTAGAAAACATGGTAAATGTAACCAGAGATTGTCTATAACTATGTGTATTTAATGTAGATCTAAATTTAAAAAAAATCCAATTTTTTTTTGATTCATTCTAACAAATTGGAGTATTGCCTTGGCAGATGTATGCAAGCTCTCAGTGTTTTCTACCTTACTTTAGACTATGCTCACACTCTCTCAACCAAACATTTCCCAACGTAATGCTTCATTTCCAGTCAGAAGATAAGAAGAGCGACTGACAGTTGTCTGCAGCATCCGCAGAGTGCCACTGGCAGAGGGTGTCTGCAGACACACTGAGCAAAGTGTGAGAAATGTAACTACGCACCAGGTGTGACAGAGCACACGAATGCATTAACAGGCTTATCAGACTGCTGAGGTGAGATTTATGGTGAAAACTCATCCCAGATGGACCGGGTCAAGAGACGTAAAGGAACTAACTGTAAATCAAGCAATAGTCTGTGACTAACAGGAACATAACACAGGATAGAAATCATGTAGTAAACTATGTAGTCAATGACAATGCCATTTGAATGTACTGGTGTTTGCTTTTTTAATAATGATTCTCATGATTGTCATAGTGTGAAACTGAACTGAAGGTCAGCAATTATGTGTTTTGCCATTTTCTTCAGCAGAGGTCAAGGAAACAACAACAGCGCCCTATTACTATTCATTTTGTTTCCTCACATTCTCTATTTCTCTCCTCTTTACCACCAGTCTGTCATTGTCATCCCCCTTTCATGTGACCTCTACATAACACCCCCCCCGTCTCTGCTGCTACATTCCTCCTGTTTCCTTCCCTTGCACTTCATCCTCATTCCCCTGACGCCCTCCTGCACGTCTATGTCCCCTGTACCTGAGAGAGGAGGAGATGAAAGCTGATCATCAAACTCTCTGGCGATGAAGGGTTGTGCATTTTAACAGGCCAACAGGCCAACCCCCCCCCCCCCCCCCCACACACACACACACACACACTGTCAATTCATAGACACATCAATAGCTCTTAACATACAGCCCTTCCACCTTCTGCCTGGCTGCTTGACATCCTGCTCATTCATCGGTTTCCCATCCTAGCACAGAGTATACACACACACACACACACACACACACACACACACACACACACACACACACACAGAGCTTGGTTGGCAGAGTTTGGCAATGCTTCATCAGCCTGAGCCTTGGCATTAGCTGCATGCTGCGGCTGAATGGAGACCTCAGTGGCTCTCTGATGAGGAAGAAAGAGAGAGAGAGAGAGAGGAGAGAGACAGAGAGAGAGAGAGAGTGGCGTAGCAGCAGAAAAGCTTCGATGAAGCAAGTGTGTGATAACGTGAGGTAAGCAAAGAAAGACAGAGAGAAAAACAGACGAGGAAGAGAGAGAGCGAGGGAGACAGAGAGGTGAGATGAGGGGAGTGACTCCACAGAATGCAGAGCAGGTAGCTGCCAGAGTGGATTACTGCAGCAGGAATGCAGCACTGGCTGCAGGATGGAAGGAGGGAAGAAGAGACGAGGAGAGCAGGAGAGGTAGCAGGAGGTAAAATGATGAAGCTGTGTATCAGGGGAGAGACACAGACATACTGAATCATACAGTTAGAACGGATTGTCCTATTAAGTAAATAAGGTATTTGGACTGTGTACTGTATGTATGTTAAGGCTAAGAAAGAAACTGATGAGCTGAGCTGCTTTTGTATTTCTCATCAAAGCATTCAAAAACACATGAACTTTTAATATTAAAATTTCATTATAAAATAATCTAATATTAATAGGACACTTGACTTGGATTTTGATATGACTACATCTCCATTTGCTGTGTAACCAATTGATACTGTACGGTAGACTTGAAAGTCAATATTTGTGCAGTTCATGAAGCTGTTTCATTTACAACTTTTTAAACAGCCAATGTTTTTTCCTTGAAGTGACCTCTAGTGCTCAGGAAGCGGGTGACATTGTTTGTTTTCAGCACCAGCGAGAACTAGAATTAGGCAGTTTGCATGAGGAGCAACAGCCAACATGGCTGAACAGACAGTAAGAAATGCGCCAGCACCAGAAACTTCACAAACAAGAAAATCAGCATTAAAAAAAAACAGCCTGGAAACCTATAACAATTAGCCTGGCTCCAATTTCTGGCAATCTTTTCATGTAACTTTCAGCAAGGAAAAAGTATAAGCATGTTTTCCCAAAACGTCTAACTATTCCTTTAAGTATGATTCATTCTTAACTGCAGTCAATGACGTCTCTTTTTTAAAAAGAATCTCACTCCTGATTATGAGAAACCTAAATATAAGTGGGATGTACGTGCCTTTAGTAGCAGGACACTGACATTAGAAGATCCTTTTCCTGTTTTACTGTCGGTTTTCATGGTCTTTGTTAGTTCCGGGCTATTTAAGATGAATTCGGCTCAAGCAGGATGTGAACTAGCATCTGGAATAATAAATGCATGTAAATGCAGCTCAGTGAAGACGCACAGCACACGCCTTGGCCACACACTGACCTTAAACAGTTGTGTGAGCAGACAGTGACACACATACTGTCTCTGCTGACTAACCTGGCCTGATTAAACACACACACACACACACACACACACACACACACACACACACACACAAGCTGCTGTCCCTGAGAGCAGTGTGTGAATGTTTACGTGTATGAGTGCATTGACCCCCATGTTACAGAATATGCACAGTGCAGTATATACACGTGTGCCACTCCTGTGTGACTTCAGGCTACGGGGAAGGAAGTGCGGCGCCGGCGTTTGTGCCCAACAGGAAACAGACTCACAAAGACAAGAGGAGGGGCGGAAGAGGCGAGGAGGAGGAAGAGGAGGGGGAGAGGACGGGAGGAAAAGGTGGGCAAAGGAGGAGGATGAGGAGATGAGGAGAGGCGGGGGAGTGGAGGAAGAAGAAGTGGGGGGAGAAAGAGAAAATGTTTGCAATTCTGAACATTATCAATAGTTACACTAAGGTATCTCTAGGTTTCAGCCATGTTCTTCTGTTGTTGAATGCTAAAATGATAAATGTCACTATAAAAGCTGGACGCACAGGTAGATAGCTAACCTGGCTCCACAACAGAAGAATATCCCTAAAAATGTGTCCTTAAAGGGGGAGTTACATGCTGTTACTGTTTCTTCAGAGAAAAACAAGCTGAGCACAGTGACTTCCCTCGATCTTGTCACATTTCCCAAAAGTCTGAACTTCCTTTTGACCGAGATAAAATGCAGTTGTTTTGAATAAAAACCTGTTATTAATATAAGACATTTTGATTTGACTTTGCAGACTGTCAGTGACCAAGAGACACCCTGTGTACGTGCAGAAACAGAAGCATTATCCAATGAACAGGGAGACTTACATTTTAGATGGATCTTTATGTCTGTGGCACGTTAAGCTCCTCTCCGCAAAGTCTCCATCCTGTGGTTAAAACACACAAGCAGGGCATGAGGTTAGTTAAGTGGACTCACTGGTCATCATAAGATCAAGACACACACACTCATGCCATCTTTCACCATTATTATGTTTGGCAGTTGGCAAGGCCCTGAGCCTGCGGCCGGACTGACAATGCAGTCACTGTAGGGGAGATCGTTCACAGTCAAGCTAACGGGCTAAAAATGAGCTAACTGCTCAGATATGGGACACATTCGGAGGCTTTGCCGTAGACTCATGCATGAGCAGACAAGCAGTGTGTTTGGCCACGACAACAGAAGGCCCTATTCAGTTCTTTGGGGAGGCACTGGTACACACACAAACACACACACACGCACCATTATCATAATCATCATCATCCGAGAAGCTCTCATCGTCTTCAAAACATGTGCATGGTTAAACACACACACACACACACACACACACACACACACACACACACACACACACACACACACACACACAAAACAACCCAGACTTGGAGCATTCCACTACAGTAGCATTCCATATGTTTGGTTAAGCACAGAGAATCCAGATTTAAGACAGGAGTCTGGACTGAATTTAAAGGATGAGAGAGGGAAGTGGAAGGAGGGGGAGAACTGAAGAAGAAAGGGGGGGGCTTAAAGAGACGGGGAACATTCCTGAGAACTATGTATGAGCAGCAACAGGACACTCCGGTGTAGAACTGTGCATTAGGAACGACCATTACATTAATAAAAATAGTCAAGAATGAACTGTCAGCTTAATCTTTCTCCAAACATTAATGAGAAGTCCTTGAGGTGCTCAGAATAAGTGAGAGTTTGGGTATCCATGACAACTCAGCAAACTCCATCTGAAGGCTATGTGATATGTTTGAAAGATCCAGAACAAGTGAGTACATGAACCTTGAGATTGTGTTGTCAACTTTACATTAGGAGTTTTACTGTAACAGAGGAGGAGGCAATGGAAAAAAACTGGCATAAAGGGGCTGCAGCTAATGATTATTTTCACTATCAATGAATCTACTGATTATTTAGGCAATTAATCAACTAATTGTTTGGCCTATAAAATATGAAAATGAAGCTCATGTATCAAATTTACAAGTGAAGGCAATTTAGCCTTAAAAATGATTTTAAAGATTAATGGATTGATTAATAGAATCATCAAAACTTGCCGATTCATTTTCTGAAGATTGACTAATCATTTCAGCTCTGAATGAATATAATAATAAAATGTCTATTTCATTACCATCTGTAAACTGTTCATAAAGAGGTTTCTCTGTGGACTACATCCAAACTAAGTGAGGATATAGATGCAGGTGACATGCTCACAGACACTTTGATCATGTAAGTAGCTACTGATGGACACGGAGCGTCAGTCTTTTAGTTGCTCCTGCCACTCTCAGCTCCTCCCTGTGTCATCCCTCCTGTTTTGTTCCCACACATCTTTTTCTTCACAGGAAGGACGCAACCCTGCTGGTCTGTGCTCAGCTGCATCATGTTAGATTCATGAAGGCAGCGGCATAACATCAACACACAGGTTTTGCTGAATCATCCGGCATTCTCACGCTACACAACAATGCTTGTGCACTGCACAGAACCAAATGTGTAATTCTGCTGAGTATAAAAGCAATTTCCTATATGCGGTGCGATCAATAAATAGTTTTAATTAAAACATGCAATTTTACAAATGAGATCCGACACATTCTTTGCAATCCGGACGAAGCCAAATATCCTAGTTACCAGAGACCACATGTTTGTCTGTGTTTGTATGTGTTGTTGGGTTGTGTGTCTGTGTGTGTGTGTGTGTGTGAGTGAGTGAGGGTGAGGTGATGGTGGTGGGGGGGGGGGGCTCGGAGCTATTCATTCAGACAGTTAGCCAACCCGTAACCATACAAAAGTGAAAACAGCTGTCTCCTTCTCATCCCTCGCTCCCACTCGCGTCCCCTCACGCACACAGCATGTCAGGTTGGGGAGGATTCATTACGTTACTCAGCAGAACACACTGAAACACTGTGAGGTGGCACTTCCTCCGGGCTGTGTCTCTGTCTCTCAACAACCGGTCGTCAGCTCAGTTAGCACATTTTCCCCAACAGAGTGTCATTTCTGGCACATTGAACTGAGCTCCACATACACTCATGAAATCATTCTGATAATAGTATAGGGTTTTTGTTGATATGATATCAAGATATAACAAATGTTTGAAAAAAATTACATATAAAGCAAATAAACTGATGTTCAAAGCCATTAACTGTGTTCCACTGTTATGCAGTGCATGAGATCAAACTCAATACAAAACATGCAAAACAGAGTACATTGCCCTAAATCATGAATTTAGATGACAGAGATTTGTTGTCATCATCAAGATCACATCATATTATGATTCCACTGAAAGAATGCATAGATAATCTGTACTGATATATAATATTTGTTAAATCAAGTGCATTTTTTATTTTAGTCCAAATGAATTCCAGCATTATTCACTTGAGTCATTAGAATTTTTTTCCTTGTGTCATGAATGTGAATTTTGTTGTTCTGACATAATATACAGCTCAAAAAGAGATATCCTGTCATACTTAAGTTTCATTTTAACTGTAATGTCACTTGTGTCCTTTTCTTTTCCCAGCAAACACATTAGTATGTTCTGCATTGCACTAAATGAGGAACCAAACTGTTCCTGCACAGTCTGTGCCAATATGTGATGTGATTACCAAGTATCATGCATTTATTGTCCCGAACCACAATGTCCAGTCAGTGACTTAATATTTTTTTTTAAAAAAAGCACACAATATACATTATCTGACGTTACAAACACTGATATGTCAAATCCCTGAGGCTGGCTTCTCTTTTCATTCGACATAAACATTTTATCATGCAGTGTTTATCTTTGAGCACACCTTTATCACACATATCCGATATCAGTAAGATATCAGTGTATGCTTTTGTGCACTTAGGCTTACACTTTCCAAACACAAACGGCATATGTGAGGCCACACACACATATCCGTTTTGGCACTGTCTCTTGCAAGAAATGCTTTATACTGACACAGGCCGACACCGACAGCACAAGAAAATATAATTCAAGCAGGCACAGATGCTTCTCTAAGTGTCATTTCTATCCACATACTTCTAACTGCCAACCTTGTAACATATTACTTCATTCAAATATAAGTGGCGCAGAAGATATTCACCAGTGTTCCCACAGAGGAGGAACTCTGAATGTGTCCATTAGCTGGTCTGAATGGCAATGTTTCACAGCAAAATGGATGCATTCAAACGTAGCGTGGAGGAAAAAAATTGTGTCAAAAGAAAAGGACAGAGGAACCACGGTGAGTAAAACAAGAGAGGAAACGAGGGAGAACGAAAGAAGGGGGAAGAGAGAGCTCGTGTTCAATTTCCTCCACTGGAGAACATTTCAAGGCCTGAAACTCCATCCTGGGTTCCACTGGCCAGGCGGGCCTCGTTTGCATGGGAGCCCATTTCCTGTGAGTGATTAGCAGAAGGGAGAGTGTGTGTATATATGTGTGTGTGCGCACTGGGGGCTGCAGTTCAGAGAGGTCTGGGGTTGTTTTGTCTGCTTGGGGAGGAAAGGAATGCCCAAATCAAACACAGTGAACAGGATGCCTAGAGAGAGAGAAAGAAAGAGAGAGAGAGAGAGAGGGAGAGAGAGAGAGAGAGAAGAGGACAAGGAAAAGACACAGATACACAGAGAGGAGAAAGATGGGGAGAGACAGGAAGCAGATCTTCAGAAAGTAGCAGACAGAAGGAGCTAACAAAAGAAAGGCGGAGGGAACGCCATGGCAGAACAGAGCGAGAGATTGATTTTTCATTTGCTGCGGACAGCATTCCTCCTACTGCTATTTGCATTCCAGCAGAGTGGCAAGGTGGAGTAAGAATGTCACATGGAAAAACATCCACCTCTTTAACTTCACCGTGAACCTGCAGAACCTGTCCTAATATCTAATGACTTGCAGCCCTCCCTGTTCCGCAAACAGCGTTCACACACTACTGCTGACTGCACAGATAGATGAGTGCAGACTATTATTCTTTTATATAACAACAGTAATATGACAACTAGCAATGTCACAGAGCAGCTTTTGTGGGCTTATCCACTTTAACACGGCTCAACTATATAGACACCTCCTGACATGTGAACTAGGCAAAATGTGACAAGTATTAAAGGTCAAATCCACCATTCAAGTCTGGAAACCAATTGAGATTTCATTAGGATCTGCAGTTTCAAATACACTGGTATATGTAAAATACCTTAACAAATATAAGTCAAAGAGCAGAGTCAGCTACATAATAGTAGTGGGGATTTTTTGTCTTGCTCAAGTATAGCGAATCAGCATTTGCTGGCACAGGGGTTTAAATCTGAGGATGCAAACTAGGGCTGAACAAATATCTCCTCAACTATAGGATGGATTGCCATTAAATTCAGTAAAGGTGTTGATGGTCCCCAGAGGATGAATCCTACTGACTTTGGTGAGCCCCTGCCTTTTCCTGGAGCATCACAACTACTTGGTGACGCCTTCACTTTTCAAGCACCCAAAATTCAAAATCAGTTTGTCCAACACTTTCTGACCATCAACCTCATCTGTTAGCTTGCTAACATGCAAAATTAAGATGGCAAACATTGTAAACATCAGCACGTTAATATTGTCATAGTTATTATGTTAGCATACTGACTTCAGCATTTAGCGCAAACAACCACTGCACTTAAGTGTGGCCTCATGCTAGCATGGCTGTAGACTCCTGGTCTTGTTCATCACATGAGGTGGGCATTTTACTGGCTAATTCGAGTTAAGTATTAACTGAATAAAAATAGATTTAAAATAATGATAATAATATTGACAATCTAAATTCCTGGTCGAAATTGTCTGACATGGATATTGTTGTGTTGTGGGGATTCAGACTCATGGTACCTTGGTATTTCTTAAATCGTTTGCAGCCCTGTACTGTACACACAGTACACAAAAAACTCTGCTT